TTTTTAAAAATTATTAATATTTAATTAAAAAAAGAAAAAGACTGGCTTCTTGTGTAGATACTCTTGATAGAGTGGTTATATCATTAAGAGTAGGTTAATTTTTGGCAGAATAAGTAGACTGGTAGTTTTAACAGTTGGAAACTAGCTATTCTGACTGGCTGCTTACTTGCTTTACTTTTACGCTTTTGAAGTAAAACTTACACACTTGATTGTTCTATGAGCTGTGATTCTCTTTTGGTTTTTTTTTAAGTGTCAAAGGCTTGTTATGACCTTTGAGGGGTAGATACTAAAATTAAATCAACATAAAATTTTTAGTCAAGCAAAAGCTGACAGTCCTTTCTTGAACAAGCTTTATTCCATGAGCATCACAGAATCAAAGCAAGTAAATCTTGAGTCTTTTGACTTGTGCCCTGCAGCCTGTGCAAGAATCCCAGTGCAAAAACACCAGTTGCCCTCATGAGGATCATGACTGCTCTTCCTCCAAAGGCATCCATTTGTGGTCTTCAGTTCTGTGCTTTCATCCATATGTTTATTTTCTTCCTACCTTCCTTTTGTGCTGTACGTCCCTCCCAGCTTGTTTTTAACTGGGCAGGCGCTGCCATGGGACCAGTTTTGGTATGTGTCTGGCTGTTGTGTTGACCAACCAACAGTTGGTCAAATGGAATGGGTAGCTGTTGAGCATACAGTGCAGTCTTTTACTCAGTGGTAGAATGAAACTTTCACAAAATGTGTGTGTATTGGAATGGTGGTTTACTGAAGACTGTTCCTCTATTTAAACTCCTATAATTGTTTGGTTGATTGGAAAAATGATTGTTAAGGGATCGTATATAGACAGCATGTTCTTCCATTTCTAAGGAAACTGAGCTGAAAGTCAACCCCATCTAGAAAGGAGAAAACAAGCGTTCCAGAGAAATAGCAAATGGTTCCTTTTGCTAATGTGTAGAATTTGAGCTGTTGGAGAAGTTTTACCAAAGTTTTTTTTCTGAGCCTGTCTTTTCCCCCATTGTGTAATAGAAGAATTTTCCCAATAAGAAATGAAGATTAGCTACAACCACCCTCCTACCCTCCGCCTGTCCTCAGTTAAGCTTGTTTTGACTTTTTCTGAGCAGTGCCAAAGATGTGTCTGGAATACAAGCGGCCTAATGTACAAACTCGAGAATATGGATGTGTGATTCTGAACTTCTTGGGAAGAGAGTAGTTGAGTGTTAACCCATTTTCTTTCTTTCTTTCTTCCTTTTTTCTCTCAACTTCTTTGTTTTTGAAGAGTCTACCAAAAATGAGACTATCACAAAGTTTTTGCAGTTATGTATATTTCCTCGATGCATTTTTTCGGCGATCGATGCAGTTTATTGTGCTCACTTTGTAGAACTGGTGCATCAGCAGAAAACACCCAATTTCTCCACGCTTCTCTGCTACGACAGAGTAAGTAGCTAGAACTGTGTGTGTATGTACTTAATTACTATTATGAGCATGCAAAACTAGTGTCCCCCCTGCCTCCAAAAAGAGATAAATAAAATCATTACCTATGTTTAATTCTAGAATCTGTGACAATCAAAAGTTCCCTTTTGTACTTCACATTCTACAAACCAAGTTTTCCTAGAGCTTCAGGGGCTTATTTTCAAGAAATTTTGTTTTTGATTTATCCTAATGAGACTAGCATTTCAGAGCAAAGTCATTAGCAATCATAGGAGTTGCGTTCAGGTTTTGCAACCTTCCAGTGGTCTGCATTTCTGCAGCCTCATCTAACCCTCCCATTTTAGCTGTGCGCGCTCTACCGCTGTAGTATCAACTTTCTTATACTTGCCCCCCACAAGCAGCATCCTTAGAACCCTTCTGACCCTGGCGAATGGTACTACAGACAGTGGACTAACTTGTATCACAGCTGAGACATGGGAAGGGACTCCCACGGTGACATGGGGAGTACTTCTGATAGCAGTAGCAGCCTGACTTTCTGGGTCAAACGGGGCAGTTGGAGGAGGCATTTGTTCAGGCTGTTCTCACTGTTTGTATAGCCATTCTTTTCCTCCTGTGGAGGAAAAAGGTGGAGAACGGGGAAGAGTCTTGCAGGATGCATTCAGCTTCAACAGTACCAGCTGACTATACTGTTCCGGGGTATCAGAACCATTCTGGCACTTACTGCTGTAAGAAGTCAAATTATTAAGTTAGTGCATCATCTGTACAGTTATAACAGATTTGACTATGAGCTTGGATTAAAAGGATGTGTATAGGGCTGTATTGTAAAAAAATTATGGCGAAGATTGTTTTCATATGAACATCCAGTTAAGATTTTCTGATTTCCTTTGCGATGAGACATTGGAAGTAGGTATCTGCTTTGATTTCATGGGTCCAGAAGAACATTCTTACTCAAATATTCAGTCCATGTTCTGCCAAGTAGGCAACTGCATGAGCCCTATCTGATGAACCTGTGCAGGCCAGGAAAAAAATCCTTTTGCATCAGTTTGGATAGGTGTTTACTTCTGCCTGCTCAAATAAATTATTAATTTGAAAACAAAACAGTTATATGCCAATGAAGACACACTTCAACTATGGAAAATTGTGTGTCAGCAGCAGCTATATGCAGTGCTTAGATTCTGGGCTAAGTGTGAAGGACCAGCAGTTGGGTAATAGTCTTGAAAACAAACTGAGAATATTTTATAAGAGATCTCCCTTATATTTAGAAACCAGCTTAACGGTGGTTTAGATGAGAGAAACTTGAAGGTCTTGTTGGTTCTTGTTCCTCTTGTAATTCAATAAAGTCATTGTAACTTTTTATTACTGCTATTCGCAGGTTTTCTCTGATATTATATATACAGTTGCAAGTTGCACTGAAAATGAAGCTAGTAGATATGGCAGGTTTTTATGCTGTATGCTGGAGACTGTGACTAGATGGCACAGTGACAGAGTCATATATGAAAAGGTATGTGAAGTTACTGAAACGAGTTTGCTCATGAGAATATATAATGGCCACTTGTGTAATTCAGCCCAATAAAAATGGGTTTAGTGAAATTGTTAGATTTAAAAACACTGTGATTGAATTTTTCATATGGCATAATCTTAGAATTGAGTTTCTGTAATTCATGTAGTTTTAATAGAAGTAATTTTGCATAGTGTCAAAAAAATATAGTGGCTAAAAAAAAAATCTTACGTTTCTGATTTTCTCATAGTTTATCTTAAAGATAATTTAGGGAGCGTATGGAAACTCTCATAATACTCCTTGCAAAAGCTAGTTAAATTACAAATTATTTTTTCTCACCCACAACTAAGATTTCAATATAAATGAGTGTTTTTTAAAAAAGTATGTGTGTAAGTCTTGTAAAGTGCAATTGTGTCTTAGTCTTTAGCAGAATCGGTGAAAAAGTGCTTCAGCCATCATATTAACTTTTGCAGAATTACTGGTTTTATGCTTCCCAAACACTTTTTTTTTTCTTTTATACACATGTAGGAATGTGGCAACTATCCAGGCTTCCTAACTATATTACGGGCAACTGGATTTGATGGTGGAAATAAAGCTGATCAATTGGATTATGAGAATTTTAGACATGTGGTACACAAATGGCACTATAAGTTAACTAAGGTAAATAAAGATGCCGAAAAACTTAGGTTTTTGGAAGCTTTAATAAAAAAAACCCAACTTCATTAGATTTAATTTGTGTTCTAGGCTTCTGTGCACTGCCTTGAAACAGGTGAATATACACATATCAGAAATATCCTGATTGTGCTGACCAAAATCCTTCCATGGTATCCAAAAGTGCTGAACCTGGGCCAAGCCTTGGAAAGAAGAGTACATAAGATATGTCAGGAAGAGAAAGAGAAGAGACCTGATCTATATGCATTGGCTATGGGGTAACAACACCTTACTTTAAGAAAGTGGTTAAAAGTGGATCATGAAAGGCTTCTAAAGACTCGGAACCGTTACAGTCCTAACGTTTGATTTTTACCTTATCACAGAAGATTTCGCTATACTGCATCTCAGGGCTGGCAGTGTGAATGAAAACTTTCATTTTGTGCTGGATGATCACTAATTTCCTTTACAAGACTCTAGTAAACACTTGAAATAGTAAATGTTTCCACTCACAAGAGCATAGCTTAATTTTAGAGAAATAGTATAGCAGCAAGTAGATAGGAGGGAGAGTAAAATGAAGAAAGCCGAGGGCTATTGATGCAAGACTGCTTAGATTTTGGACATTTATATGATTCTAAAATGCTAAACTAAACTACTTAGTTATGTTTTACATCTTTCTGTGATGAATGCAGAATCGTCCATGTATGCTTAAGGGGCAATTCAGGTTGCCCTAACAGTTTAAGTTTTGTCAGTATGCTGTTTCTTCTGTGTGTTTGGCCGGTGTGTGTATGTGTGGTGGTGGTGAAGAGAGTGTGGAGGTAGGGCTTCTTCTGTGTCTAGTGGTTTTTTTGTTTGTTTGTTGTTTTGTGTTTTTTTTTTTCTTTTTGAGCTCATCGATAAAGGGGGAAGAAACTGCATATCAGTTGGGAAAAACTGTGAAATAAATAACAGATGAACTGTTAGATTAGACCCTCATTTAGAATTCAACCCATGTTTTGCTTTATGTTTGTGCATATTTAACAATCTGTGCGACTTACAGCTATTCTGGGCAGTTGAAAAGTAGGAAGCCTTTCATGATACCTGAAAATGAATTCCACCACAAAGACCCACCTGCCAGGAATGCTGTAGCTGCAACAGTACAAAATGGGCCAGGTGGTGCTGGGATGCCTACATCTCTCACAATAAATACAGTTAGACTGGAAGAAGGCACTACTGAGGAGACTGGTAAACAAACCTATGATTATTATTTATTTGTTTTTTAAGTAGAGTTCTTCTGACATTACAGGCTACTCTCTCAAAATTTGGCTTATTAAACTGAAAAGAAAAAATCTAAATACGATGCTAAATAGGGTCAGTGTGTGTTCTTTATTTTTAGTTGGTTTTGGGAGAGGGTGTTCTGCATTTAATTACCTATTTTAACTGTTAGCTACACATGATCTTACATGAATATGCTTAGGTACTTGTTCTATTTTAACCAGTAGGATGTATATTAACTTGTTGAAATAAAGCTGTTCTCTTTTTTTTAAACAGATAAACTAAAGGAGAAGTCTCAGGGTGTGGTGAAAGTTATTAATAAAGCTGTCAACGCTACACCGAAGGTGACAACAAGCAATGGAAACAGTGCTTCTAATAGGTAAGAAAAACTACTTTTTCACATTCTCTATTTTCTTCCTTCCAAACCATAGAATTATACTTGAAACTGACCTGCCTTTTTTACTTTCAGGTTCTGTATAAATTGTTTCCATTTCTTCAAAGTTTAATAAATGAGATTATTTCTTCCAAAATACGCAGCTGTACTGATCTGACACTGTTGTTAAATGCATAGCATTTTAGCTAAATAAAGATAAAACAAATGAGAACATTTGCTTGTTGCTGTCCTGATAGAGAGACAGCAAATCTGAAATCTGACAGTGACTGCTTCAGGAGGTTCTGTCAAACCATCGGAAGTAAAACTTTTGTGATAAAACTAGAGCTGGTTTTGTTTGCATGCTAATTGGCCTTTTTATTTTTGATGCAGCAAAATTATTAAAGAGAAAGATGATAAAGAAAAAAGCGGGAAGGAAAAAGATAAAGAGAAAAAAGACAAGACTCCAGCTGCCACTCCAGAGATGAAGGCACTTGGGAAGGATGGGAAAGATAAACCAAAGGAAGAACGGGCAAACAAAGATGATAAAGCAAGAGAGATCAAGGAGAAAACACCAAAATCTGACAAAGAGAAGGAAAAAGTCAAGAAAGAAGAAAAAGCTTCAAAAGAAGAAAAATCCAAGACAGTTGTTACCATCATTGAGTCAAAGTCAACTGCAGAAAAGGAGAGAGAAAAGGAGCCGTCCAGAGAAAGAGATGTAGCGAAGGAAATGAAATCCAAGGAAAATGCTAAAGGAGGAGAAAAGATGCCAGTAGCTGGGTCCTTGAAGTCACCTGTTCCCCGATCAGAAACATCAGAATCTGAAAGGGGTAAGCTTGCATGTTTAATTTCTGTTCTTGTCTAGAAAAATAGAATGTCAAAAAATGCTAGAGATGGTGAGAAAGAATTGCTATTTAATAGCTAGCATTTTGCCATTGGCTTTTAAATACAGTTGGCGCCTAAAGTAGGTAGTCAGGATATCTCCAAAAGGTGAACTGTGTGAACATGTGAACTTCACGTCTTCAGTGAGTGCTCATTTTCATAAAGCCTGTAATTTTTTAGTATAAGTCTAAATGGTCTTTTATTAAAATGTAACTGTATAACTGCAGCCTTGCAAGTTTTGCAAAAATTTAACGCAAAAACCTCAAGAGTGTACTCTTGAGAGTTTCATCATAACCTTTGAATTGAAAGAAAACAGGGATGTGGAAGATGTAGGCCTTTGCGTCCTTAAGAAGGACACAGTAAGCTTTATCAGTTCCTACTTATATTAAGGGTTAACCAATCCTTAATGTTGATATTTTAAGTTCTTATAATCTGAGGCTGATGTTGAATTTTATACTTGCACTGCTTAAGGCAAACGAAGTAAAGGAGGGTTGTAATGCTTTTCATTGGGTTCACCTTTCAGCGTCTTCATAGTAACTCTGAAATTCAGATACAGGCTTACATAAAATGGAAGTTTGAAATGAGCATAATTTTGCAGCAGTTTGTTCACGTTACACTTTTCCTGCAAACCTTCATAAAGAAGGTCAAGACATGCTTGGTAACTCTAGATAGCTTAAGAAAAACAAAATTTACATAGTGGTAAAACTTGAATTCTAGCTTAAATTATTTTGGTACTTCAGCCATATTATTAGATTATCCTCTTTTAAATGTGTTTTAATAATGCTATTGTTCTTTTCTTTCCTCAGAACAAAAACGCCGCAAAGTTGATACACATTCTTCTCCATCACATTCCTCAACAGTAAAGGTTAGTATAGCCTGAGGAAGGCAGCACCCATGTTAGGCTCACAAGTTTGGGATGCCAATATTCGACTTCCTTCAAGTTTTGTGCCAAGTATACACTGGAACCACTGGAGGTTTTATGTTGCATTAGAAAATGCATTCCTTTTCTTTATTGGCGGACTGTCTTTTTTTCTATAAAAATATTTTTAATTAACCAAAATAATGCTTCAAGGACCTAGCACAAATTTTGTAAATAGTGTTTGGAAATTGCAAGAGAATTTTTACACAGAAGTGCCTCATTGTTTTAAGCAGTCAGTTTTTTTGGAGTGCAATGGTAGCTACAAGCAAATGAGTCTTTGCAGCAGAGTGGAGCATATTTTTCTGCACTTCTATTGAAGAATCTATAGCACTGAAGATTGCTGGATGATACGGGATGTACGATACCTCTGAATTCATCAGGCTTCTTGATGAGCATCATACCGATATGTGCCTTCTAAGGAGGAGTCTTGAAAGGAGTTCCATTTTAAAGTCTCCTTGGTGATCAGTTCTCCTGTAGTTGTGTATATTCAGTGCGCATGCAGCTTCTGTTGTACCTTCCCTTCGAGGTTTGTTTATTTCCAATGGGTTCCCACCATGTTGAGCCCTGCGTTACGATAAAACCAGATGTGGCAACCAAGCCTACTACCCAGCAAAGAGAAACCCCAAGCATTCAAGCGCAGCACAAAACCATGGGCGTAGCCTACTTGAAGACTCAGGGTAGCCATTCCTTGCTCCATATTTATTTTATTTCTAAACCATCTATGTTCATGGAATCTTTGAATTTGCAGTACGTTGAACATTTAAAACTGTAAGTTACTAATACTTCATCAAGAGCACTGTGATGGATTATGTGGGCCTTTAAACTTCACCATCTTACCAACTTTAGAACAAGCTTTTCCATCTTACCAAGCTTTTCTTTTTTTCTGGTTTTTTAAAGAGTACATCTTTTTCTGTGTAAGATTTACTTGAAAGATTTAGGCTAATTTTGGAGAACTCAATAGAACTCAAATACTGGTTTTGAGGAAGCAGGTGACAGTGATAACTACTCAAAATGACAAAGTTTTTCTTGCCTGTTTTTTGTAAATGGCAACGTAAAGTCATTCTAGAGTGACTTCTACCACATTTAAATGAAAGTGGAGAAGATACAGGTTTAAAAACATTTTAAACCTGTTTCACCTGTGGTTCAGCTGTATTTAGAGTTAAGACTATTTTTTCTTTATATTTTGTCTTGGTGGGAGTTTTTTCACTGTTTTATGAAGAATTAGATATAAACACATTTTGTAATTTACTTAATAATCGGGTCTAGAGAATAGATATTACTGTCTCTTTTTTTTTTTCCCCTCCTTCTTTCTTTTTAAAAAATATTTCAGTTACTAGCTTTATTCAGTGTACAGTATTAACATAAGATTTATTCCAGAAGGAGTAGCTGTTTTTTGTTTCAAGGGTATGGCCATGCTTCCCAAAGTTCCTCTGGTTTCTGAAAACTATTCCAGCTTACGTGTCATCTCCATTCATTTTCTACAGGACAACGTCAACGAACTCAAGGACTCTTCAGCAAAGGTTTGAATCTTTTAGACACCACCAAAGTTTACTTTCATGTTTTGTTGTAGAGAACTTAACTTTTGGTCTTTTGGCAAACTCAATTAGAAAATTCAAATTCCATTCCTGTAAATGCTAGTGTAGTAAGAGGGCTTTTTTCAGTCTGCTATATAGAACCTCTGTATAGGAGAGAGAGATAGTTATGTGAAAGCAACATAACAAAAACCGCCTGAATTTACCATTCTGTCAATATTTTTAAGAGATTTTATGGGTCAGTATCTTCTCTGGTCCTCTCTGGAACTTGTAAATTTATAGAAATGCCCTTATGATTAAGCCATTTATTTGGCTGAATTGCTAATAGAATAGTTAAAATAGTTCTTAGAATAGTTAGTTCTTTTTTTGATACCAATTAAATTTTTTAAATCCAAAAATATTTGAGACACATCTCTGGAATATCAGTATTCTTTCCCCATACTACTGTTGTATTCATGTTTTAGTGCTATAGTATTATATTTCTAAGCATCACAGACAACCTCCTAAATGATCCTCTCTGTGCGTTTGCTTCCTGTAAACGCACTTCAGATTCAGTATATTATGAGAATGTATGCAAAAGAAGGCTTTCAAGAGTTCATAGAATCAGAATACCAGGTTGGAAGGGACGTCAAGGATCATCTGGTCCAATCTTTCTCAGTAAAATCACAGTCTAGACAAGATGGCCCGGTATGCTGTCCAGCCGAACCTTAAAAGCATCCAACGTTGGGGAATCCACCACTTCCCCAGGGAGATTATTCCAATGGCTGACTGTTCTCACTGAAAAATTTTCCCCTTGTGTCCACTCGGAACCTCCCCAGGAGTAACTTGTACCCATTACCCCCCCCGTCTTTTCCTTGTGACTCCTTCTAAGAAGGGAGTCTCCATCTTCTTTGTAGCCACCCTTTAAATACTGGAACATGGTGATAAGGTCTCCCCTAAGCCTTCTTTTCTCAAGGCTGAGCAAACCCAGTTCTCTCAGCCTTTCCTCATATGGCAGGCTTCCCAGTCCTTTGATCATCTTTGTGGCCCTTCTCTGGACCCTCTCCAGCCTGTCCACATCTTTTTTGCATAGCAGGGACCAAAACTGAACACAGTATTCCAGGTGTGGCCTGACAAGCGCTGAGTAGAGTGGGATATGAGTTGAATGACATTTTGGTATGTTGTATTTTAGGCAGATTCTGCAACTATTCTGTTGCTTTTTTTAAAATCAACCATTTGCATAGTAACAGTCACAAATATTGTAAACTTGCTAATATATTAGGGTATGTGGCTAATAGGAAATGGATCAAATCTTCTAAAGTTACTATTAAGATTTTTGATTACACAGTCAGTATCCACGTGTAACTAAATAGCACCAATGTTTATCACTTGGAAAATGCTGACCATTTGGACTTTCTGGATAACTTACGCGTTTATCTAGGATTACTTATATTCACTTGATTTAAAAATGCATAATGTACTTCCTGTTCTATATTTACACTGTTTTACTTACAGCTCTCTCTAAACAAAGTGTTCAGAACACTTTATATGTTTTAATTCAAAATAGCTCTGATTTTATAATGGACACTTGCTGATGGGTTTTTTTAATCGAATCTTTCCAGTACCAAACATACTTACTAAGAGAGAGAGTGTATGTAGGAAGCATCCTTTGATTCTTACAATTGATGAAATTACAGTGTCTACAGATTGAATCCATATACTTTCAAAACTGATTTCTAAATCATTGTCATGATATCCTGTATATTTAAGTTTTTTGAACTTAGAAAACTATAACATTTGTCTTGAGCTCACATCTACCTGAAGTGTGGTACATGGTAGCCTATATAATCTCGCTTTTCCCTCTCTTACTGTATTAGTCAAGGTTCAACTGGTTAATTGAAACTTCACTCAAGTTTTCATTAGTTAAGCTAAACTTTTATTTAAAACTCTTTGTTTTACTTATTAACACATTGATGTGGTAATCAAGCAGACAGTGGAGCTATTTGTAATTAAATGATCAACAAACAGCTTTATTTTTCTAGTCAATTTGAAAGGTTAAATTTTAGAATTAACTATAATGTGTTTGTATGGACTTAGCTGGAAGTGTATTGCAGTTGTGTGACTTTTTCATGGTTTTATTGTTTGTTAGTGCTCAGGGGATGGGGGGGTGTCCAACCCTTTCCTTCCTCTTCTAAATGCTGTTTTCTATTCTTTCTCACTTTATGAACTAATTTTCATTCTTCAGTGCCATTCTAACAGATTTAAGGCACTTCTTGACAATGTTCCCTATACATGGTGTAAGGCAAGTTAAATGCTGCTCTTTACTGCCATGTACTTGTTTGGGGAAAGGATGGGATATTCAGAAGCCCGTAAGATTTATGAGTTCAGCTTCCACTGAAAGTTAGTAGAAGTCTAGTGCTGTTGTATGCTTACAGGCCTGCTTTATTCCTGACTTTGCCTAATTTCTGGGGCCAGACCATTGAAATGTTGGCTTACATTGCAGGTTATGAAATAAACGGTGCCAGACTTGAGTTAGGTTTGTGTTTATTCTTGCTTTGGCCTTTGCCCAAGTTACACAACATACAACAGTGCCCAAAATTTGACGTGGTTTCAGTTAGCATTTCTAGAAGCAAGTTGATAAAGCCTGATGAGCTAAATCCAGCCTTTTATTGTAAAGGGATGTGAGAGGGATGCAGTTTTCCAAAACTCTGCATTGGGATGGTAGAAGAGCAGTGGAATCTGTCGTGAACAACTATGTGAACTTCAGAAATGGAATAGGAGAAAGCAGAGCTACGGGTTTGCTTTCTCACATGGAAAGCATCTCTGGGAGACAACTGAATGGGGCTGCGTAGAAAAAAAACATTTGCAAGTCACTGTTAAAAGTCGACAACAGAAAAGGGAGCAAGGATAATTTACTTGTGGAATGGCAATGTAGGAAATAGAACAAGAAAAGAGGAGTGAGCGAAAAGAGCGGAAATAAAAGTGTCTAGTGAAAGGAGTATTGAAGATTCAGTCTCTGGCGTAGGAGGATAATAAAATTCCAGTTAAGTAATAAAAGAGAAGAGATCTAACATTGTCAGTGCGACTTTTAACATAGAACCAATAACATCAAGTTTTGGTAAGTTAAACATTTACTGGAACTGGAGGAGGACAGGATTAATTTAATTAAAAGAATAAAAATACTTGAAACAATATTTGGTTTGGTTCAGATGATTTGTAGATTGTTCTAAACTAATCTTCCACTTACCTCTTTTTTTGGTGTCCTTTTAAGTAAGATGTCTCTAAAAAGAAATACAGAGAACATCTTAATTAGAAGATACTAATCTTTTCTTTACAAATTGATAGCTTATGGAACTGGGGAAAGATTAAAGTATACTGATGTAAATTTTTGTGTTGCTGTAACTTAAATACATATATTGTATTTATATATGTATACATATTATGTATTAATATATATAATATATGTATACATATTATGTATTAATACAATAATAAAATGCCAAGGAAAGGCGTTTGTAATTAAAAATGTGCTCTTATTGGTATTTTATGAAAAATATTTCTTAGAAAGATCTAACTATATAATTGTATTTAAAAAGGCAGAATTAGTTACTCTAATGCATTGGTTTTATATACTATATATATTATATATTTGTGTGTGTATATATATATACACACACAGTAACATTTAAACTTTGTCCAGTGTTGTACTTGACATTACTGTGATTTACTCTCCTCCCCTGTGACCCCAGTTTATATTAAAAATATTCAGCTTTGTGAAACTAGTATGTTTTACAAAGCTTATCAAAATTGGTTAGAAGAGAGAGTGGATTAACAATCTAGAACACGTTACAGAGCAAAAACAATTCTATGTTCGGCTGCTTTTAGCATTTGAAGTTTAGGCTTAAGGTGGAGTTTTGTATTACTGTAGATGAAAAAACACATTATTCAAAGTATTGGCTTAAATACTTTGTGGGTTAAGATTATTCTTTAAAAATTAATTAGAACCTGTTTAAGCAGCTGGTTCCATTCATTGTTCCAGGACAGATTGCAAGTGTTAAGTCAGTCCAAGAATCTGCATATCCTGTTTCAATAGCACTGCTGTCTGATTTGTTTTGATATATCAAATAATACTGGTGAACAACGTTGTGTGTATTTAATATAAGTGTTTCGGTTAAGAGGAAGTGTTCTTGAATTTCCAGTGTTGAGAAAACAAAGCTCTAGGTTAAATTATAGATGGCAAGTTTGAAAGTGTCTTCAGTCACTTTTTTTTGCTAGTAAAGTATTTAATGTTTCATTTTGCTCTTTAAGCTAGATCTGTTATGTTAGAGTAAGACTTTTTATTTACACATCTAGGAATACATATTAATATTTGGTGATATTGCCTTAATTTAACAGCACTACATTAACCACACTACTCCAACACTGTCCAAGAGTAAGGAGAGAGAAGTGGACAAGAAAGATTTGGACAAGTCAAGGGAAAGATCCAGAGAGAGAGAGAAGAAAGATGAAAAGGACAGGAAAGATCGGAAAAGGGTTGGTGAAATTTTTATGAACTAGTTTAGAAAGTTGGAAAGCTTTCTGTTCAAAGTCCTTGCAGTAATAATTGGTTGTACAGCCTATCCAAGCAGAAGTGATCCATATCAGGGTTGTTTTTCTTTTTTTCTGTACTTTTTCAAAGGTCGGTTTACAGTAATGTATTCAAAACTTTTCCCTTCAAAACCGATCTCAAGAAACTTTACACAAGATGTGATAACTCAGTTACATTTTAAGTATTGAAAAATTAGTTCTCCAAATAACATTGTAAGCAGGTGCTACTTCAGGAGTATGTTTTAATCTGCTAACATCTGCGTAATTGTATTTGGTGCCAGGATCATTCAAACAGTGACCGAGAGGTACCACAGGATTCAACTAAACGACGCAAAGAGGAAAATGGGACAAGTACGTATTTTATTTTGTGTGTGTGTATTAGGCTTTCACTTGTTGTGAATTACAACTTTCTGTTGTGTTTTTAGCTGGTTCTTCAAAACATAGTAAAAGTGAAAGTCCTTCTGATTCCCCTCGCTTAAATGAAAAGGAGAAGGAGAAGAACAAATCCAAATCTTCAGGAAAAGAGAAAGGTGATTCAATTAAAGCAGAAAAGATGGAGAAGAGCTCCTCTGGTAGCAAAAAGGTAAAATAAGCTATTCTTATTTTGTTGATTTGATTTTTTGTTTTGTTGTTGTTGACAGGACAAGCTGATTCTTTTTTCTTGAACTTTATTGCTGCTTTATGGCCTGAATTAAAAAGATGTGCTGTGAATGTGTAGGAAAATATTTCTGGAAATTCTGGTATCTTGTGGCTCTAAATACTTCAGCAGTCACTCCTGGCAGGATAAATTGGAGGAATAGTTCATTCTGGCAGTAGCCAGGAAAATTCAGTAATTATTCTAGATTATTCAAAACCTAAAGTATATTTGCAGACTGGTTTGGTCAGCAAATATGTGAAAGCAGGGTTAATTTACATATAAACTAGTCTGCTTGTATTCAGATTTTCAAGTGCATGTTGGAAGCACAGCTTTTTTTGTGAAAACAGGTAAGTATGTTGTAGTCATATTTGTAAAACACCAAAGAATAGTTCCCAGTTGTTGTAACTCTTTAGTGATAGCAGTTATCATAGAATTGTAAGACAAAGAATAATCTCAGAAATCATAGAAGCTGATTACTGTCATTCTGATTTTTATTTTTTTTTTAGCTGTGGCCAGTTATAACTTTAAACGTGTATAATCCTTCTAATCAACTGTACAATGTATACTATAATAAACTGTTTCCCATATGGGTTTTTTTTAAAGGAATCAAGACATGATAAAGAAAAAACAGAAAAGAAGGAAAAACGAGACAGTACTGGAGGGAAAGAAGAAAAGAAACAATATCCTTTTACACATTAACAATTCAGAAAAATACAGAAAATGAGCTTCCTTTTATTTTATGTAGTAAAATATATTTTTTTCCTTAACGTTGAATCTACTCATAAATCTTCAGACAAGCACAGATAATGAAGATTGTTCCAGTCAAGGTAAAAATTTTTATGATTTACTGTTTGCTTTGAT